AATGGAGGCTGAAAGGATACTAGGTCACACAAGTGAAGAAGGAAAGAAAGATGTCATACACAAAGCATGAATGCAAACAAACACAATAATAAAAGAACTATGAAAGCTAGTTTGATAAAGTTACTTGTGGAGAATGCAAAAGATGAGGTTGGATAAGACATGAAGAGGCTGGAACCAAATAATTTTTTTTTGATTCCAGCATGCAACTAGGAGAACCTTTTCTTATAGAGGATGACTACATTAGAGAAATATAAAATCCTGGCTAGATGTAGTGGTACAAGCCTATAATCCCAGCTACTCAGGAGGCTGAGATAGGAGCATTATGCGTTGAGGCCAAACCAGGATATTAAAAAAAAAGGTTACTGAGACCCTATCTCAAAAAACAAGCCAGGCATGGTGATACACACCTGTAATCCCACTTATTCAGGGGTGGAGGAAGGACAGGGGTGTGAGGCCAGCCCCAGGCAAAAGCATGAGATGCTATGTGAAAAATAAACTAAAAGCAAAAAGGGTTGGGGTGTGTCTCAAGTGGTAGAGTGGTTGCCTAGCAAGTGTGAGGCCTAGAGTTCAAATTAAAACCACAGAAATAATGTATGTGCATGTGTCTATATAATTTAAGATGAAGATCTGCAATGAGCTGTTGAGGGAATTCTGACTGGCAGTTGATGTGTGCTGATACTCAGTTGTCACACATTCATTTAGTTGTACTGAAGAGTCACTTTCTGTTGCTTGTTAGTAATTACCTTAGAGGGCATCAACAAAATTTAACAAATTAGCTGAGCCAGGTGGCACACACATATGATCTCAGCAACTCAGGAGGCAGACATAGGAAGACTTCAGTTCTAGGCTAGGCCAGGCAAAAGTTACCCAAACCCCATCTCAAGTCAGGGGCCGGGTGCAGGTGGCTCACATCTGCAATCCTCTAGCTACTTGGGAGGCTGGAATCGGGATGATCACGATTCCAGGCCAATCTAGGCAAAAAAGTTTGTGAGACACTATCTCAACAGACAAAAGCAGGGCATGGTGGTGCATGCCTGTCATGGTGGGAAGTATAAAGTAGGAAGATCATAGTTTAGGCCAGCCTGGGCAAAAAGTGAGACCCTACCTCAAAAATAAACCACAGTGAAAAGGCTACAGGCATGGCTCAAGTGTGAATCCCTGAGTTCAAACCCTAGTAACTCAAAAAAAGCCGGGTAAAGAAAAAGTGTCATAGCTCACAACTATAATCCCACTACTCGGGAGGTGGAGATAGTAGTAGGATCGTGGTTCAAGGCCAGCCTGGACAAAAATGTTGGCAAGACTGTATCTCAAAGAGCAAGCTAGGGATGGTAGCATATACCACAATCCCAGCTATGTGGGAGGCATAGGTAGGAAGATTGTACACTGGGCAAAAAAGTGTGAAACTCTATCTGAAAAATAACGAAAGCAAAAAGGGCTGAAGGTGTGGCTCGGATGGTAGAGTGCTTGTTGCAAGGCCTTGAGTTCAAACTCCAGTACTACCAAAACATAAAAAAGCAACCTGGGCAGGGTGGTATACGTCTGTAATCCCACCTATGTGAGAGCAGAAGCAGGAGGATTACAATCTGAGGCCTGCCATGGAGTGAAGTACAAGACTCCATTAGAAAAATTAAAAAACACAAAAGTAATGGGGATGTGGCTGAAGTGGTAGAATGCTTTGAGTGTGAGACCTTGCATTTAACTCCAGTACTGCAAATAAATCGATAAATAAAAATTAAAATGTAAACTATTGGAAAAAAATCTGCAAATTGAGAAAATTCTCTGAATTCTTTTTCCAACAAATTGGGAATAAACCACATTCTTTGATTCTAAGAGGCAGAAATACTTGATTCTGAAAGCTATTGTCTAGCAGGAAGACAAAATGAAAGCAAATGACTTACAGCTATGTGATGGAGGGTGTGCATGGCATTCTTGTACACCAACACTACACTGTCAGTGCACAAGGGATTGTTTAATTAGCAGCCTTAGCTACCAGGAGAACAGCAAGGAAACAGAAGGTGAGCAAAACGCCCACTGAACAACCCGGGAATGCAAAGCCCGTGTACTGGCTTTGGAGGGGAAGTGCCCTTCAACAAACGCATAGCACCCTCATTCATAGCACGTTAGCAGTGAACTTCAGGTAACAACCTGACTACAAAAGAGAGAAACTATAGAGGGCAAACACAGAACACAAAAAGCACAGCAGTCCGAGACATTTAGCTGGGGAATGAAGGCACTGAGACAGCTGCACACAGCCTGAAGCAGTCCTGAAAACATCACTAAGTCAACATAGTAATTGATATCATTAATGACAGCCCCAAGTCAACTAGAAAATGTCAACTTACGTTCAATGAATTCTTTTTTAGAAGGCAGGGAAGCATGTAATACATTTGGAAAAATCCATCAAAATAGTTAAAACAAAAAGCATGGATGCTTAAACGATAGGCTTTGCTAAATAATTTCAAAACCTCCAGGTCGCATTCCTCCAATGTGAAACAATGTAGTTCCAATGTAGTTCTGTTGGAAACTGTAGGTTAATTCTACAGACTTTTACCTTGTTACAGTCATTGCATGAAACAGAAGTTTAAACCTGAGAGCTCACTGAAAACGCATGCAGAGCTGTGAGTCTACGTTTGTATGTGCGGTTTTCTAGAGGAGAGGGTTTAAAGCTGTTCCCAGTTCTTAGAGGGGTTACAAAACGAAGCCTCTCTGTAGCACATGGGTTTAGATTGGAATGCTTTGAGGAAGAACTGACCAACTCACTTTAAACGCTATTTAAACACACTACTAATGTGACATAATTAGCACTATTCACAGGTGAATATTTACAGAGAACTCAACATGAGCCATAACTCTAAAACATTCAGTCTGCCTAGTTTGAAACCACTGCCTGGAAGGGCAAGCATGCAGTCAGGTACCTGAGAACTCAAATTCTGTAACAAGTCATCTGGTGCCTTAAAACACATGCTTTCTTTTTCCTTAGTAATTTATCAGAACATCTGTGCTCACTCTGGCTAAAATGTTCCTAAAGAGTTATAAAACAAAAAACTTCCTTAGCTGGTCCACTGGCTCATGTGCACAGGCGCAGCTATGTGGGTGGTTGAGGCAGGAGGACTGCTTAAGCCCGGAAATTTGGAGCCACACCAGGCAATGTAGCTAAAGACCTCATGGCTAGATTTTTTTCCCCCTTGTCATTTTACTCTGCAAGAATCTCCAGTGAGGCACTCTAGTTAACTACCTTCTCTTGAAAGTACCCTACAGGTCTGATGTTTGAGTTATCATTACAGAAGGTACAGCAGATACTCTGCTAACAGATTTCATGACCTAACAGCCTCCATTTCTTCTATAAAAGCTCCTGAATGATGCCTATGGGATGCCAGATGTTTGTGGTTGCTAGGCTACTCTATGAGGTTTGCATCTCTCTTCTTCCATTGGGTAGGCTGTTTAACATCACAAGTCCAATGGGTTTGTTCCCAAAACTATGCCAGTTTTTCATGCTGTAATTATAATTTACTCAAACAATACGTAAAAAGTGACAAAATAATAAACTTACAAAGTTTATTATTTATTTGAAATTCAGGCAGCAGCTTTGAAAAACTTCAAAAAAGAAGACCCTTACCTACACAAATAAAGTTGATTTTGTGTGTGAGGGGGTAAGACAGCGTAAAAGATTAGGGTAGCTGGGCACTGGTCGCTTATAACTGTAATCCTAGCTACTTAAGAGGCTAAGATTGGGAGGACTGAGGTTTGAGGCCAGCCCTGGAAAATAGTTCTTGAAAGTCCATTTCCAAAATAACCAGAGCAACATGGACTGGAGGTATGGCTCAAGTGGTAATTTGTCTTCTTTGCAAGACCAAAGCCCTGAATTCAAACCCCAGTCCCACCAAAAAAAAAAAAAGATTAGGATGACTACCCTTAAAACCTAGAAGAGTTCTTTACTTTGATTACTTGTCAAGTAATCTACACTCTAGAATCACTATGGAGAAATCAACAGAAAATTGATGCATTTACACAAAAGAAGACATAGAGGAAATCCAATTAATACATCCGTATTCTCTATCAGAGGATTGGTAAACAAACATATAGGTCCTGGATTTGACTCCCAGCACCATACAACAACCCTTTCCCTTCATACCCCAAATATAACTACTGGGGATATGCATGCATCTTTTTGTTTATTTTTAAATAGTTCTTGCTTTAACTTGCCTTTTTGTTAAGTGAACGTCTTTGAACCCTGATCACTTTGGATAAATGGGATTTTCCTATCTGTGATTTGTAATAGGAAAATCTTGCTTCTTGCTAAAATATCAGCAGCTGATGGCCTTGTGCAGGGAAAGCTTTACCCCAGAGGAATAAACTGAAAAGGAGATTTCAAGCCTCACTGCAGGCCACTGAGGGATGCATGCTGCCTTTCTGCAACTCTAAAATCACACTGCAAATGCCTTTCTTTACCCAGACAACCTATTTATGATGACATTCTCCTCAGGAGGCAACCTCTGACATCTTCCATCCTGGTGTTAGCCTGGCCACCAGCTTATAACAAATCTGACAATTACACACATAGAGATCACATTATGCCATGACTGTGGTTACTTTTGGCTGACATTTTCTAACAAACCACAGACATACTCTCATTTATTACATATTGAGTCCTACAAAGTTGACTCTGAGAGTTAAAGAAACTTTCAAGTTCTAAGGATTTAATTGTTGCTCCTTCCTTATACATTGACTGTAACATCAGGGATTTTCCAGGGATTTTTAGAAAACAGAACACACTAAAGAAGTATCATTTTTATCATTACAAGAAATTTAATGTGTGAGAAATATGTAACTTACATAGTGTCATTTGTCAAATATATATTTCTTTCATTATATGTGTGTCTCTATAAGAAACTATAAACTTTCAACACTGTGGTGAAAGGAATAATACAGTCAAATTAAGCAGTCAAAAAGAATTCCTGGCCGAGAACCAGGGGAATCCCACAAGTAAGCATAAGCACAACTACCTGGCTGTTTGTGGTAGGTGAGCTCCCTGCTTGTCAGGCAGAACCACCGTTTCTTGAAATTCTTTTTTCCGATCCGAGTTCTTCCCTGAGCTCTTTTATACATCTCTCTGCCAAAGCAACACAGATAGAAACAATGAGTATAAAGATGAAGACAGTTCATTGAAAACAAAGATTTGTCCCTTAATGTTAAATGGCGCACAAAATAAGATTATAGTATGCATATGAAATGCCTTTTTGGGCTGGAGGCATGGCTCAAGTGGTAGAGCACCTGTCTAGCAAGCACAAATCCCTGAGTTCAAACCCCAGTACCATTAAAAATAAGAAAAAGAGAATGACTTTTCCATTTATGACTCTTGTATTTATTCTGGCCACACTAAGGGAATAAAGTCTTTGATACAGAATTTCAAATTGTGCTATATAGACTAAAAAATAGCCAAATAAATGATCTCCCATTCTCATAACTCCCAATAACAACCAATATACTTTAAAACTGAATACTGCTATTACTTTTTCAAAGCACTCTAATACCTATCTCACTATAACACAAAACAACTGTGGGACTGCAAGGACAGGAAGCCCTGCCCCTCTGACATACAAGTTACAGGACAGGGAGGGTGGCTTACCTGACTGGCTGTGACAGGCAGTTCTGGCTCATAACAAAAACTCAGATCTCATCACTCCCAGACACAGATCTTGTCACTCTTTGTACTTACTCAACATCTACACTGAAATATGAATTTCATGTCTAATATAATTAAATTACCCTTCTTTCAGGTGCACGGGTTCACTCGTACCACTGGACTCTTTAGTTTCAGTAGATGAAATTTCATCCAAGAACTAAATGGGGAAATAGGCAAATATCATACTGTGTGGTCAGGTGCAGCATAAAAAATTCAGTTTATCTTACATGTCATGGACTATGTTAGCAAGTTCTTCATTATTAAGGAACATATATAACACAGGCTGAGTGTCCCTTATCCAAAATGCTTGGGACCAAAGTGTTTTAGATTTAGTATTTTGAAATATTTGTGTATATACATGAGATTATCTTGGGTCTAAACATGAAATTCATTTGTATCTCATATACACCTTGTGCACACAGCCTGAGAGTAGTTTTATGCAGTACTTTTAGCGAATCTGCACTTTGTGACCTATTACATGAGATTGGTGAGTAATTTTCCACTTGTGGCAGCATGTCAACATTCAAAAATTTTTGGATATTGGAGCATTTTGGATTAAGAATGTTCATCCTGTAGTAATCTATGAAACAAAACAAATTTAGTCGTAGAGCAAGTCCCTAATTTATGAATAATAGGAATTCTAAAAATTTTATTAAGTTACTTAAAACTCCGAATACATTTTCCTACAGAAATCATTCACTCTGTAATCCCTTAACTGTAATTCTAACATCCATAGAGTCTGACTACAAGAGTTTTTAAATTTGCCTTTGATTTGCAGTGAACCCATCTGAGGGTGTATTAGCTTAGTTGTCGCAGGGCTGTTAAGATCTGTATTCACCCTAGTCAGCACATCTATACGCTGTGACACACGAGCATCAGTGTGCTTGATCACTCTAGGCTCCAGCAGGGGTGCTACATACTTGTTCCCATTATCTTTTGAAACTCCAAACACTGACTTCAGAAGTACTCGTGGGTCCGAAGATTTTACATATAGGATTGTGAATCTTCCTCACAGGTCAGGGATCACCAAATTGGACTTGTAGCCCATTTTTATAAGGCCCGTGAGTTGTTACATTGTTAAAGGGTTGTAAATCAAAACAGAAATAAAGAAGACTATGTGACAGAGGCCTTGTGTGATCAGCAACTGAACATATTTTCTCTCTGGCCCTTTATAAAAAGAGCTGTTGACTATACTGTATATAGCTGACTGTACTTCTGACAGGGCATTTCAGTTATGACTAAAGTATAATTGGGTTCTCTGGGATTATCTGGAGATCTAATGACCAAAGAGAATATGAGAATGTGGTAATTCAAGAAAATCTGTATTATCATTCTCTAGCAAGGGAAAGTCACCTAGTGGAAAACACTCAGTTAGCTTCATGACTATACTCTCTAGACCGGTCAAGGGCTTCCTAGCATGTGCATGCCTCTTCATGGTAAAGGGAAATTTAGCAGTTCAAGGAACAATTCTTGTTCTTGGAGAGGAATCTTACTTTGCCTCCTAAATAAACTATCCATTTGTTTAGTTCACTAGTTGGATATTACGAACTCAGATTGTGAATTTCCTTACTTTTTCATGTTTCAAAATTGTTTTGCTTAGGGTGTAAAAATAAAGTACATTCCTGCAAGAATACTGAGGCTCCAGTACCTCATGTGTAGAATTTCTAAGCATAGTCACTTTCTCCTAAGAGTACTGTGGATGGCCCACCAGACCACATACTTGTGAGGTTTCCTAATGGAATGTTTACTTCTAGTTTGCTGAAAGGAAATCTTGGTAAGTGAAAAAACAAGAACAGAGTTCCTTCTGTGTTGTTTGTGGGTGATAAAGGTGCAAGTAAGTACCCAAGGGAGCTATGCAAGCGCTCTACCACATCTTCAGTTCTGCAGATGGGCCATCCACGAACAGCATAACAGTTATTTGAATATTTTATTTCTCAGAATGTATCTGAGGTCATCAGTTTATTTACTAAATATTTATTTATAATAATAATTACTTATAAGGAAATATAGGGTAAAATATATATAAAGTGAAATGAAGTAAAACACAACAATTAACAAGGACTACAGGCAGGGTGACTGTCACAACCTGTTTGCTCAGGACCATGCCTTCCAGGACTTACTGTCCCTGGATAATCATTCGGAGGACTTCTCTTCACTCTTCAAAGTGTTCTGGTATAGCACCAAATTCTACAGGTCACTCTGTATAGAATTCTCCAGGTTACCGTTCCTGTACTCTGGAGAATGGTACTATTCACAGTCACAGTCTAGTTTCTTCTGGAGCACTGGTCGCTGGTGAGAATGTCAATAGGAAACAAGAACCTGGGCTTTACAGGCATTTGAAACTTCTAGCACTGCTCATATCCAGACCCAAGTGTAGAAGACTAGGATATTAGGGTCAGACATCCTATGCCAGCTTAGGAATCTAGAGCCAAATCTGAGAGAGAAGCATGCTATGATGAGAACACATCGGAATATGAGTGGGTGACCCAGGGTAGGTTAGGAGCAGACTAAAACCCTTGACACTCTTAAACACTTTCTCCACTGATATTATCAACTCTACACATTTTGATTATATTAGATAAAAAAACAAAAGAAAAAGAAATTGTTGCCACCATAACTTTGCTTATAAAACTTGGAAACATACCCCCTAAGCAAGACAGCACATGATAATTCTGCCAAGAAAAGTCTGTCCACACTGTTCCATATGTTTTAACAATGTCTTACAAACAAAAGGCTGCATGTTTGTTTTCACTTATTCTTTTGAAAGACTTACTCAAGAGTCTTCAATAATTACTTAAAAAAATGTTATATGAACTTGCACTATTCTAGATGAAAAAAAAATCCAAATGATTTTACTGTTTTAAATTATCGTTTTTGTTTTTGGAGTCCCTATGACAATCACAAAGTATAAAAAGAGTTTAAATATATATTTTAACATATTCTTGACCATAAACTACTAATCACGTTATAGAAACTGAATATAGTCTTGAAATTTGGCCTTGCTAATTTGGATTCAGAGTGAGGAGTGTGATAAGATACAGTTCTTTAAGCCTAGTTTAGACGCACTTCAAAATAACTTTTCTTTCTAATTTTTCCAGCTGGGTATAGTGGTACATGCCTGAAATCCCAGCAGTTAGGAGGCTGAGGCAGGAGGATCAAAAGTTTAAGGCCAGTTTGAGCTGCATTAAACAAACAAACAAACAAATAAACAAAACGCTTTCCAGGTTTATAACGATGTATTTTGTCTAGATGATTCAGGACTAAGAACTCAAGAAATTAAGATCCTTCCAGAACATTTTCATTTTGTAAGTACAACCATGTTTATATGCTGTAGGTCTCACATTAATATATTTGTGATTTTTCTCTAGTTAGTAAGTCATGTACTTTTTTACTATGGTCATTGAGCACCCAGTATATTATGGGTACTATATGCCTTTATCCTAAGTTAAGGAGTTCTCGACAGACTCCTTGTCCTCCCGGAAAGATGTGGCAAAGTCTGGAGGGATTTCTGCTTTCAAAATTGGAGCTACGCTACTGGGATCTAATTTAGGGTTGCTGCTAAACATCCTACAATGCACAAGCCACCCTCACGATCAAGAATTATCCAGCCTCAATGTCAACAGTACTGCTGTTGAGAAAACTGAATCCTAGAAATCTTGAATTTGTGTTAAGACACTGGCAATAGCATCTGTTGCTAAAGTTGCCATTTCTATGCTGAGCAGCCCATAGCTTTGTCTGAGAGGAGAATGGAAGAGAGAGTCTTTTTGACAGACATTTACAGTAATTTTTTTAAACTAGAGACTGACTCGTGGGAATAATATGCAATGTTATTTCCTTTCATGCTGCATGGCAGAAATGTTAATGTTTCCCAAATAAAACAGTCATACCTTTTTAACTGCTATGATATATCCTTCTTCTTGAAACATTTTGAAAAATTCACACATGAATGTCTCCTTGAAACTTGACTAAGAAAAAAACAAACACAGAGTTTAGATATGATAAGTAGAGCACTAAGAAAAATAATGGACTGTATTTTCAAGCTGAGGATTAGGGATAAAAAGATTAAATCATGTATTTCCAGAGAGCAATAGGGCCTGGAGCTGAAGACTGCTTTCAAAACTGTTGGTGTTCACAGCACAGAAACAGGAACTAGATCATTCCTGTATCTTCTAATTAGACCTCCCTGCCCACCTCTCAGGTATATCTGGTTAAGTTAAACTGTCCCTTTTAACAGGGCACTAAGATACAACATCGACCTAAGAGACAACTAGTACATTTCCATATACATGTTTTTCAGTTTTGTTCTGAATATAGAAGGAGGTAAGTGATGGAGAAGGAACCACAGGGTATAACAACATGTTAAAGGATACAAAGACTTACCTTGCATTTGGACAGACTCCCCCAGCTTCCCAAAGTTTGAATGGTTTTTGAGATGAGAGTTAATGTCCTAATTGTCTGTGCATCCTAGACAATGTAAAAAAAGACCAAAATTCTTACTAAGTTTTCAAGAAACAGCATTTGTGTAAGAAGTAGAATACAGTGAATGTGCTACATGGCTCTAAAACAGTGGTTCAAAACTGTTCATTCAAACCACCAACACAGCTAAAGTGCAGCTAAGGCTGGGCACCAGTCACTGGACTACAAAACTGAGAGACTGAAGAAGTCTTGGGGAACTGAGAATTCTTCTTAAAGTAGTCACATTTCATGATGCTACTTCTGAAAGCCAGAAGTTAATCAATATTATATTTATGTTATTTTGAACAGTATGGCAGCTTGGGTTACTTGACAATTATATTTAATAGTTTTGGAATGTCAGAGGCATCTACTTTTTTCTGCCTTGCAACTTAAAATGGCAGTTTTCAAATTTTCTGTGCTCAATCCACTTCTAAGTATACTTAATAATTTTTATGGCTTCTGTAATCAAATATTCTTACCATGAAAAAAAAGAAAAAAAGATCTCAATGCGGATCAGGACATGAGAAGCCATGCAGTCTACACGGGCTCTTAGCAGAGGTAACTATTTGGGTTGCTTATTCAAGCTGTTTTTCAGGCCTAAGTTGACAGGAACAGTGTTCTTATCATGAATCCTTGTTCTTTTCTTAATTTTTTAAAAAACAGAGGTAAAATTTATATATAATGGCCTGCTGAGTTTTTACCAAACAACACATCCATATAAACAACTACTTTACCAGAACATAGACCATTTTTTCTGTTTTAGGAATTCAAAGTAAGCAGTATTATTCATCAAAAGTCATACTCAGAAGTCAGATGTGGTGGCACATGTCTGTAATTCCAGCACTTGGGAGCCTGAGGTAGGAGTATTGTGAGTTTGAGGCCAGCCTAGGCTACACAGCAAGTTCCAGGCCCATACTGACTACTTAGTGAGCCCTGTCTCAAAAAAAGAAAAAGAAAAACAAACAAAAAACGTACCCAGGAAAATTTAGATACAGGAAAGTTTAATTTTCAGTTGGCATCCACACTGTAAACAGGCAGTGAATGTGGTGGAGAAGAAACAACCAGAATAAGAAGCAATCCTGTTTGAGATCCAATCATTATGATGGCACACCTATGAGACAGTGGACCTAAATCACTGCAATTCAGAAAACATTTCAGCTGGAATCTTCATGATTCCATCCTACCTATAAAAGAGTCCTACAATTAATTCTCTGCCTTTGAAGCAAATAGCATTCTTAAAGATGTCTTGGCACACCAAGTTGAACTGAATTTCACCAAGACTTCTCCATTCAAATTTAGTGCTTTAGGTTATTTCTTTCTTGACCTTGCAAAGGGGAACAAAGCCTATTTCATTCGGTGTAAGGCTATCAGAGGGTGGTTTACATCAACGTGGCCCTCACTACTATTTGAAAGTCATGTAATTCAGCAACTGCTGATTCCCTGATGTACTCTCCATATAAGGAGTACTAAGTTTTTTCCTTCACTACAATTTCTCACACATGACCAGGACTGTAGCTGTCTGGCGCCCAGTACACAGCCTGTCACTGGCACTCTAGTGCATGCTATATGACGTTTATCTAATTCAACTGAAATAATGAATTTCTCACCTCATGATAACCTAGTATGGGATCTTCTATCCCTGTTCCCCTTTGTATTAGGTTGAACTGTATGAAACTGCTTTTATTTGACTTTGTTCTATAAAACACAATTTCATATGGGTTTGCCATAATCTTTCAAAGGAATAGTTGTTCTTTCCCCAAGGTTAATCTCATTACTTTTGCTTTCACAGATATTCTTTCTGAGTGTCTGTATGTTTCCCTGCCCTCAGCTTCTGAAACCTCTAGGATATTGCTCTGGATATCCTCTAGGATACTGCTCCCATTTTGCTAGAGTCTCCTCTACTTAAATCAAACAAAGGTTTTCTCATTTAGGAAACTACTCATCACTTCATGGGCTTGTTTCTGAACTACCGTCTTTCATTTCCCAAACACCCCCTAAGCATTCACTGTGCCATGAGCTTAGGATACACAAATCTGAAAAAGATACTGCCTTGCTCCTGAGGTATCCCACATGCAGAGATTACACACAGATGACACTAAAACAGTACAAAAAATGCCACGAGAGACAGAAAGCTAAAGGATGCTACAGGCACACAAAGGAGACACACAAAACCACACTAACGGGTTAAAGAAGTCTGCTTTGGCCGGTTCTTAAAAGGAGTTATCAATGAAAGAATGGGGATATAATGAGGATGGCCCAATCTTTGTGCTTTTCCACCACAAAACGTCAAGAGTGGTCTAACATGTCAGCATTCACATAACCCGTATTTTAAAGTTAGGATTTAAAAAGCAGTCACTCGTGTGCATGCACAGGTGCATGACTGAATTGTCTGTGTCATTTAGTAGCAGGGAGAGCTCACTTTTTGATGCACTTGCTGGGATTCACTGCATTTACTTACTTATTCTTTAACCTCATTTCCTTCTCTTCTATTGTACTAAAACTAGTTTCTCAAAATTCAAAGAATTTCTACATGTAAAATCCAGCTAATTTTCCATCGCTCTGCCCTCTAGCTACTGTGTAACCCTCAGTACTGGTGGTGACAGTGTCGGCAGAACCTGTACTTCTTACTTGGTACTAACCAAGTCATGGCTTTAAATTTCTGCAAATACATCTAAGTAAGGTTTTGGCCCATTGCCCCAAGTACTTGAACAGTTCTTTAAAAAGTAGAATTGTGGTTTGAGATCCTCCAGAGACACCAGGAAAAAGAAAAAGACAAAAAATTAAAAAACAAAAGGAACTAAAAGAGAAAGAAAGAGAAGTTGAAATAAAACTGGTGATAGAAGCAAATAATAAAATTATATGGTAGTTTTGAAGCAGTTCTTCTGGCATGTTGATTGGAATATACTGACCTAAAATACAGTTTGTGGTTAGAAGGATTTTATTTCAATATTTGTTAAAGGAATATGGATTTCCAAGTCTGAATACAAGGCAGAGTCACAAGTTCAGAGGTGGGAGTTCTGTTTATGCACAAAATGCTGCTTAGAAGCTTTCACTGCCTCAGAGGTCTGCAGAGCTTTAGTTAACAGAGTGATAGAACAGCCTGTAATCAAAAGGACACTGGCCCACTTTATGTGGCTAACAACATCTGTCCTCTGGCAAGAAAGAGTTTGTTTCTGCCACTGCAATGTGGTTCCACTCAGCTGTCACAAGTCAAATGACTGGCCAATGTGTGTGGCTGTCCACAGAAGCAGTGGGTATTCAGAATCCACTTTAATCCCCAAACTTACATACCTTCCTATGTCATATCACTCAGTGGACTTTGAGTTTCCTAAGAGCAGGGAGCATCTCTTTTTTAAAAACATTTTTATTTGTATATAATAGTTATACAGAGGGTTTCATTGGACATTTCCACATATACACATCTTATACCCTGGTTTGGTTCATCCATACTGTTATTCTTCCTCTGCAGGGAGGGAGAAGTTAAAATAACTTGACAGGTTTCAGTGTTCCATATTCATGCATGTCTAGAAAGTACATCTACTACATTCACTCTTCTTTACCGTCCTCATGTACCCTCCCCCACAATGAGGGCCTTCCTCCCCTCAGTGTGACCTGTTTTACATTCCAGTCCTTCATTGTTTAAGTGTTGGTTGTTCAGTGGGGATTGTGTCTTGGTATTTTACCTAACCCCTCCACTACTCTTCCTCCTTCTTTTCCCTCACCCTGTACTGTTAACAGTTTCTGTGGAGAGCGGATTATGAAAAGCCTATGAGAATTGGATGTAAGCAAGTCGAGATGTGGCTTAATTGCTTTTACCTGTAGGCCGAGCTAGGCACAGCTCCGGTCAGAAAAAGCAGAACAGCTGTGTCTCCTAAGTTTGCGTTCAGAGAATCAGGACCGCAGGTTTCTCCTGTTACAATGTCATGCCCTCCCAAGAGCCTCTGCTCCACCCTGTTTGCTGCTGTTTATAAAAGGCCCCTGAAGGAGGGCCCGGGGGCTTTTTGCTTTTTGCCTTTGGTTTTTACTTTGGGCTTTTTTGGGATTTTTGGTGTGGGAAGCTTTTGGAAGGGAAACTGCTGAAGGGAAAAGTATGGCTAAAGAGGGGTTGATAGAAAGTCTGCACCAAGAACTTTAACATAGGTCTTAGAAAGCTAAGTCAAAGAAAGAACTTTTAACATAGGCTTTAGAAGCTAAAGAAAAGCCAAAGAGAACATGGGACACTGCAAGATAGAGGACCAAGACTTTGCAAGTCTGAGCACTGATGCTTTAAGAAAGCTAAAGACAGAATGCTAAACAAAAGCTGCAAAAGACTTTAAGTGCGATTAGTCTAAAGATAAGCTAAGAGAAAACATGGGACAGGGCCAGTCTCAGGAAAGAGGTTTTAAGCAAGGTTTTAAAGAACTGCAAGTAATAAGGCCTTAGAGAATAAAGATAGAGAAAAGAAACATTAGGGTTGGGTGTCTCCTCCAGAGCGCTCAACACACCTGACCCCACCCACTCTCTGTCTATCCTGTGTCTTTTTCCGAGTCTCCACTTGCCCCCAGTTAAGCCCAGGTAGGTTCAGTAATAACCAGGAGCGAGAGAAAAAGCTTACTCTAACAAAGGAGAGAGAGAGAAAAAAAAAAAAAGCTCCAAGTTTCCAGTTTGTTTCCTTGTGTCTTGTTCCTACACAGATGTGATGTATTTCATTATTACTACCTTACTCTGTCATTCTTCTCTTCCTCAAGCAAGGAGTATCTTACTCACTATTGCATTTCCAGTGTTGAGCACACTGTTTAATATACTACAGGTACTTCAACATCTGTTGGCTTAAGCAGTTGGAAGAACTGGGTTAAATTCAGAGTGTGTAAACACTGATTGGTTTAGAATTCCATTTTAATCCAGCTCAAACTGAGTAGGACCCAATCATAATGGGTTAGCTGTGTGAGCCTGGAGAAGTTAATGTATTACGGAGTCCTTACATACACATGCGGGTGAGAATCAAATCTGCCCCTAGGGTTACTAGGAGGACTAAGTGAGTTCAACATATAAGGTAGTTAGAATGAGACCTAGGACAAAGGAGGCACTAAATGAACGCTGCCTGTTACTGTTTGTTATACAGACTTCCAACTAAAAGCACCGAACATAAAGTTGGAACAAAAAAGGTTTATTAAAGAATTGCCAAAAATACACTGTATGTGAAGGAAGCAAAAGAATAAAGAATTTTAAGATATTAAGAAATAAACACAGCTTGTGGAGTGGCTCAAGTAGTAGAGCACCTGCCTAACAACCATGAAGTCCTGAGTTCAAACCCCAGTAACACCAAAAGAAAAAAAAAAAAAAGAAATGTGCAAATAAATCCAGTGGAGATTTAGATCTAGGTAACTGACCAGGATTTCAAAACCAAAGGATTACATAAATCAGTCTCTTCAGATTTCTGGGATTTTAAAATATGCACAAGATTAACTATTTTAATAAACCAGGGGGAAAGCACCATGAACTGTAACTAAAAAGAAAGAAAAATAAAACAAAAATCCCCAAAACAACCCCCTCCCATCCTCAAAAGCCCTTTTTGATAAAAATTACCAAGCACTACTGCATAGGAAAACAGACAAATGCCCTCTGTGCTCATCACCACTTCAACAGTTATCAACATTTTATCACACTTGTGAAATATCTCCTAACAAGGAGAAACTTCAGTCCTATGTGGAAGACTGAAATGGTCAAGAAAACGCCATGTAAATCTAAGTATCAGTTATAAGAAAATGTAGCCAAATAAAATCGGCTCATTCTTTCTTTTCTTCATTTTACTAAAAATAAGGAGAAATGGAATAAAGCTTTGAGAAGAACAAACACTTACTGGATGATGAGGTCGCAAATGAAAAGTATGAGGTGACACTACGGCTACAGCAAAGAAACGGAGAAATACAAAGCTGCTCACTGCAGAGTACTGAACATGGGGGTCATCTGCAGGAAGAAATGGTGAAATGTCATGCACAAAGCCACTGCATTCAAAACAAAAACGACAGCAAAAGTATCAAAAACATGTACGTAAGCAAGAGCGGAATATAACTTCTCTAGTAAGAATCGAGTTGATGAAATCAAAGTAATGATTATGGCTAAATTAAAAAGAAAACCCTGAAAAACATAAAAGAAAATGAAGGGCAAAACTGGTAGACTTTTAGAAATGTTGTAATTTGAAAAATGCCTCTTTCCTTGTGTACATAAGACTCCTGAAATTACAATGAAAATAAAAGTATCTAGCACTACCTAGTGGTAACACTGAATCCCTTAGCACAGGATACAAGGTAGCTTTCAGTTTTAGGTTAAGTAATTGTTTCAATTTCCCCCTGGAAACCTGGCTGTTTGATTGTTCACTTCACTGGATTTAGAGAAGCCTAGATTAGTAAAGCACACCTTAGGTGTGTGCATGGGTACATTTCCAGAGATGTTACATTACTGGGGGTCTGACCTAATCAATGGTTTAATCCACTGATTGAATCAAAACTTGAAAAGCCTCCTGGGAGATGGTGGAACTAGAAGGTGGGGCTTAGTTGGAGGAAGTGGGTGGCTGGGCCATGCCTTTCAAGGGCATGTCTTGGCACTGGCCCCTCCTGTCACTTCTCTTGACTTCCTGCTGCATGAGGTGAACAGCATCCTCCACTACCAGGATTTCTGCCTTGCCTCAGCTCAAAGCCATGGATCCAGCCAACCTTGAACTGAAACTTCTGAAACCATGAACCAAAATAAATGTTTCTTTTAAATTATTTCTCTCACATATTTGTCACAGTAAAAAAAAAAACAAACCCACACTATACAATAAAAAAAATTAGGCAGCTATATTCACTTTTAAAAAGCTATCACTATTTCATACAAAAATGCAGATAAAATGAAGACTCTTGTGACTTTGATCATTCACTGACAGCATTTGCTTCAGACTACAGTCAACACCTAACCCAACAATTAGATGGTAGAGAAGAGCAGATGAGAGTGGAAAGAACCTCTGCGTTTGGCTTGATTTAACTCTTCCTTCCTGCTCTTTCTCCATCATACTCCCAGGGTAATAAGAATAAATGAGAGACTATGAAAATAAGTTATGGCAATAAAACGATCAACATTGTAGTCTACTATGGATATGAAGGCATTAATAATAACCAAGCTGGGGGCAAAGGAGGGAAGTGGCCCAACATCATATACCCATGTGAGGACATGTAAAAATGGTAAAATAAAAACAAAATTAGCAACAGTTGACCTAACATTGAAGAGTTAGGGAGATTTAGATGCACATATAAAACTAAGGCCAAGGTCAGTGGGCAGCGTCAACTACATAGATCAGCAGTTGTGCTTTGGAGTAGTCCAGGCCCACATTTGATACCCAGCTTGCCTGCTGGCCATGTCCGCGACCTTGGTGAAGCTGCTCCACCTCTCTACTGCATTTCCATTATATCACTCCTGGGAGTAGTGACGGCCTTGAGTAATGCTGAGGAGATGAGGGTGGGAAGGAGATGTTGCAGGCTCTAACAGTGACTGTTCACTAAGTGCTCAATGTGGTTATCATGATCTAACTACTTAAAAATATAGTACTTCATCTTTCAATAGGTTAATGTTCTGCTTTTATTTGTTATGAAGACTACATTTCATATACTTATTTCAAGTTAAATGTTTGTCTTTACTATAATTAGCCAAGACATCTAGACCTGAATTCATCCACAAGTTAAAAAACTTAGCCGCACTACTTCTGTGGAAGGTAAATTCACCAGAGGGACAGATTTAATAGAAAGGAAAAACAAACAAGCAAAACCGCCCACATTTAAACGAATATAATAAAACAGTGAACTCTCTTCAGATGAGAAGCTCTCTTCATACAGCGAGATAAGAGTGATAAAATTTGAAGTTAACACCTTTCCCTCTCCGTCCCTTCAATCAGGCCTATCTCGAAAGGCAGCTAAAGCAAGTTTACATATTAGAGCTACACTACAATAAGAGTAATTCCAAGTACTGACAGTAGGAGTTAGCAACTCATGATTTTATGAAATGTTTTCCAGCAAAATCTTAATGCAGCTACTTTTGCAAAGTTAAAGCATGGCATCTGCTGATATCTGTACCTCTAAATTCTGCATATGTTGCAGCTGAGATGTTTCTAAGGTCAAAGACCATTTCTGTGAAAACATTTCAACATCCAAATCTTAGCATTCTCAAACTGTCACATCCAGTCAACTGTGCATAACTAAGGGTTACCACTATTGGAATGCACGCAACTGGACAAGACAGTTTGTACAAACAACAATCTTATGAGTATACTGGATAAATGTTATCTAGAGTAGCTCTAAATTTTTGCCTTTCTTAAAAGTAATGATGACTTTTGTTTGATCTTTAAGTTGCCATTATATTGAAATAAAATGGGCTGTGTATCTTGAGATTACTATAAGAAAAATAAATTAGATGGCTCATGAAAAAGCAAGCACCATTTTGGAAAACTTCTGGAAGAATATACCTACAAGCAAACACTTTATCCAAACCCAACACACAATTAATATCTACAAAAAGTGACATCTAGAGAAGACATGGCACGGTTAAGGGTAACAGGCACTTACTAGGAAATCTCTGAGTGGCCATTTGCCTCAGGGAATAGAAGATATCACACATCACGGTAGGGCAGCTCATACTGGATTGCACAATTGTACTGAATAACTTGTCCACATAGTAGCGCAGATTCTCCTGCAGGATTTAAAAAAGTAAACAGTAAAATTTCGACTTTCACACATTTTCAGTAGCATTTATATGGGAAAAAATTGCAATGAAAATGAAACTTAATGTAGTCTCTATCAAGTACTCCTCCCTGCTTCCCTTCTCCAAACTCTTTCAAAGGGCAATTAACATTCTGACCTAATTTAATAAATTAAATTTGGACTTGCCAGACATGAGGGGTAAATATTTGAATAGCCTTCATAAGAAGTAAAAGAGATTGAAAGGGAAATAACTCAGATATGTAGGCACCAGGACTTTGTGACTCTGTTATCCACTGTAATGAAAACATGTGACCCTAACACAATTATAGGTTTCCCAGAGACAACTAAAAGTACCAACTGGTCACATCATTATGCCACTTAGTCAGATGGGTTTGACTGGTAGGGAATAATCAGTATGGAGGCTGCCACTAGATACAACCTAAATCCAGTATTATTACTATAGTCAAAAATAGAAAATCAAGAACAGAACCAGGCTGGGCATGGTAGAGCATTCCTGCAATCCCAGCTACTGGGGATCAAGAGGCAGAAAGATTGTGAGTTTTAGGCCAGCCTGGACAAAGTTACCAAGACCCTATCTATCTCAAAATAAATAGAATAAAAGGGATGGGGGTATAGCTCAAGCAAGCATGGGCTCAATACCCAGTATCATAAACAACCCGCCCACCAAAAAAAAAGCCAAGAAAGTGAAACCACTGAGGAAATAACATTCTAAAAGCTAGCCCTAGGAAACACCAGGAAAGTAAAGGTCAGTATGAACAGAGGACGCTGCTCACCTGGCACAGCATTTCTGTACCACAACATTAAGACCATTCCAGACAGTTACAATATAGCAAGCACTCACCTTATTATTTTCTACATTATCTCCTTCTTTTAATTTAATAGGATCAATTTCACAAGGTTTTGAGGATTCACATATCTGGAAAATAAATGTATTTTTCAGTTAATTATTTTTCCTAGATATAACAAAATGAAGGTAACTTTTTTAATGAGTTAAATGTAACAAAGTTTAAAACTAACAAAGTTTAAAGCCTCCACAGATAATATAACAATGTATATAATTTTCTTAAAGAACTATATTGAAAGTATTTCTCATACACTTGAAACTCTAGCTAACACAGAAATAAAATTACAAATAACTAATGTGCCTTTTAAGAGTAAATAATTTATTTTTTCCAAATAATTAACTTTTAAAAGTAAATTTAAAGTAAACACTTTTCTAAAACATTCAGCTTTTTTTTTCTTTTTGGTGGTACTGGGGTTTGAACTCAAGGCCTCACCCTTGTTGGGTGCTCTGCCACTTGAGCTACGCCCTTAGCCTTATTCTTTAGTAAAACATGAATGGATAGAACCTCCCCATCAGTACGTCACTTCTTGAAAGAGATGTAAGATAGCCATGAACTGCTGTTAGAGGACTTTGTACCTCATCTAGAATGGATTTTAATGTTACTTTCAGATAGTGCCCTCCCACTATTTTCATCATCTCATCCAGACATCGGGTTGCCAGGGAATTTCCTCTGAAAATTGTGTTTGCATCTCTGAAATAGAAAAAGATGAAACCAGTGTAGTTAGAAAAAGCTGTAAAACCAGTAACATAACAGGTATGACTTTTGTTATCCAAGTTTAGTAATTTTTACCATTAAATTAAAAGCTGGCACCCAGTAGGTTTGTGAAACTTACCCAAACTACTTTCTGAAAATGAGAAAAAAATCAAAGCCTCACTTAACTAAATAAAGAGTGTATTTTCAGTAGGGTGTGGTAGAGCATACCTGTAATGCCAGCACTCAGGAAACTGAGGCAGGAGGATCCTGAGTTTGAGCTCAGCCTGGCCTGTAATAGTGAGACCCTGTCTTCAAAAAGAGTGTATTTTCACTGAGTTTTCTGTATTTTCAGACAGCAGGCGGTCTTACATGAAGCTAAAATTTGTTTTCCTACTCCTTTCTATTTGTCAAGTTCACATGGTTTGAATATTACTTTTTAAAATAGTGTGTAACTACTAATCTGGTTCATAAGTTACTGATCATAGAATACCCTCCCTCAAAAAGATACCTTACATTTTCTGACAAATAACTTAGATCTTAAGCATTAAATGTCAAGTCTAAGTATTTTGATAAAGATAATGGAGCATTAAAAAAACAAAAAGCCCTGACTTTTGTTACTTGCTAAATAATTTTCAGTCTACTATCCAGTAAATTGGTCAATAAGAAAAAAACTCAGACTACAAAAACAACTTGGCAAACTATAAAGTCTACTTCCAACAATAGCTAATTAACATTTAAGAAGTACAACTCTTACTGGGTATCCTTCAAGTCTAATTCAGCCACTGCCGTGACGAAAGGAACCAGTTTATTCCGGTGCAGCAGCAGTCGCACAAGAGGCAAAACAGCATCATTTTTATCTCGGCATATTTCACCCAAGATGTAGGCAGCTGAGGCAGATACCGGCTACAACACAGAAAGGTGGAAAACAAACACGAAATCAAGGAAGCATGATTAAAATTCAACCATTAACCTGTAAAAATAATTAAAATATGGCCACTAATTATAACTACTATATAGAATAGGATTTAGGTTTCTAAATGCTTATCAAAGATGAAATTTGTAATCAGGTTTAGAGAAACTAAATACACAATTTTGAAGTCTTTTTCTCAATCATTTAAAGAATTATTTTAGCCTTTTCATATAAATCATACACTTTAGTTTTTCAAAGTACCTGGACATCTGGGGATTTTAGCAGCAAAGTTTTCAAAGGACCATAGTACTCTGAAGGAAGCACGTAGTCTTCTGTGTAGCATATGTTTAATCGAAGCGAACCCAGGTCATCAGTTTTAGATGACTTGTTTCCATTATCTCTTGGTTGTAGCAAGTACCTAAAGTAAAAAGTAAAATCAATTCCACTTGATAACAATGAGTCTAAGCCAGTGATATAAGTAAATAGCTAAGCCATTAAACAAAACAAAATGGGGGCTGGGATGGAGCTGAAGGGTGATTTATGCTCTTAGTGTGGATGAGACCCTGGGTTCAATCCCCAGCACCCAAATAAAATAAATAAACCAACCAACCAAAATTGTTAACCTAGCATTTAAAGTTAGGACACTTTGTAAGTAGCACTGGCTATATATTGTACTACAAAGCTATAATAGATTTTAATCTAGGAAATAAAAACAGGAATAGAAAAATTAAGATCTTAAAGGGATTAAACAAATTTCATTAGTTTGCAAATTTAGGGAAAAGTAAAACTTATGACTTAATGTGTATGTGTGGGGGTGGCTGGGGATTGAACCTAGGCCTCATGTATTCAGAGAACATATTTTACCACTAGGCTGTACTCAGAGCTCAGTGACCTAGTTTTAAAGTAAATTCAACATATAACAACTTCAACTTACTAAGTTAATGATTAAAATGTGGACACAGTGGCTCATGGCTGGAATCTCAGATATTTTGGAGGTGGAGATCAGGAGGATCAGAGCTTGAGGTCAGCTGGGCAAAAAAGTTAGGGAGACTAACATCTTAACCAATAAAAAAGCTAGGTATGTGCCTGTCATCCCAGCTATGCAGTAAGTATAAACAGGAGGATCATGGTCCAGCCTGGCCTGGGAATAAACACGAGACTCTATCTGAAAAATACCTAAAGCAAAAAGGACTTGGAGGCATGGTTCAAGTGGTATAGTGCCTGCCTAGCAAGCCTGAGGTCCTGAGTTCAAACACTGTATCACCAAAAAACAAACAAAAAATAGTTAGTGATTAAAGGTTTGTAAATAAGTTTTTACATTATTAAAAGGCTAACAGCATAATTATATTGAAAATGTTTTTATTTTTCAAAAATCAGATTTACATGATTTTTTTAAGGTAAGTAAAATGCAGAAAATATGCAAAAATAGTTAGCTTTAAATATCTAAGGAAAGATATGTTTAGAATTAGAGAAGTTTGTAGAATCAAAACCATAACTCTAATTTTTAAAAAGTTTTTTCAACACACATATAAAAGCAAAGAGACGGCATACTGAATCCTGTGACTCCTTTACCTAACGTCAACAATTATCGACTCCTGCATTATGACTTCAAAACAATTTCCAGATATTTTATCATTTCATACATCACTTTAAAAATCACTATTGTTATATTCAAACTCTCTCAAACTTAACATAAATGGTTTTCTAGTTTGTTGAAATCCATATGAATTCCAAAGATAGTAATTAGTTGATAGTGTTCTATGTGTCTTTTAATTTATATACCCCCTCCATTCCTGTGAGAAATCTGGTAATTTGTCCCGTGCAGATTTTTGCATTCCCTCCATTGTTATCTCCATGTATATTCATGTTCCTTTGACCCCTCTGTATTTCCTGTACATTGGCAGTTAGATCTAGAGGCTGTCACTTAAGACTTGATATGATGGCAAGGATACTTCAAGAGGTACTAATGTCTGAACTACTTTTCTTTTTGTGATTTTAGGAGTCATTGATAATCATTGCCTAGAGCTATTAGTCAGAATTAATCATAATTTCATACTTCTATCATTCTTCCTTCACTTATTAGCTGGAATATTTCTTTATAAAGGAATCTCTGTAGTCTTGATACTTAAAATTTCTATTTGTCACCTGTGGCTTTTCCCCTTCAATAGACTAATTTGTTTAAAAAAACAGAAGGGAGAAGGGTCTAACAGAATATTTATTAGCTCTGAGAAAGAGATGAGAAAGACAAAAAAAAGGAACTAGAGAACTAACCAAGCAAAATTAAAAAGATGAAGAGATGGCAACAGGGAGGAGAAAGTTCACAGAAACTGTTAGGAATTCCTCTGCTGAGGCATAATTATCTTGGAAGATCAACCTTCAGAACTCTGATTTGAGAAGCACTGATTTAAAAATCCAGCTAATGAAATAACTGGAAACAATCCTGTTAGCAAAGGTGACACAGAAGTATCTCTGCTGGCTGATCACCAAACAACCTCACCAGGACATTACTATGGTCAATTTCTCATGACCTAGGGTATGTTCTGTAGCCACACATCTAAAATTGAACCTAAATTGCAATGATTGAATACAGAGCCTGATGTACTCAAAGCAGGCTAATAACTACACTTATGAAATGAAAGAAAACAGCCATGTGGCACAGATGCCTGCATTATTTGGCAACCAATACAATATACTGTAGAAATGTTCACTAACAAAAGTAAGGTCAAGAGTGATAACTGCATTAATGAACACCCTCAACACCAGTCCCAGGCACTCAATTATTTGGCTTTAACAATTATTACCATTTATGGGACTAGAGGCATGGCTCAAGTGGTAGAGAATTTCCTAGCAGGTGTGATGCCCTGAGTTCAAACCTCAGTACCATTAAACAACCCCTCCCCCAAAAGACCCACCACAGACAAATAATGATCTCCATTTATCATAGTGTTTTTATCTATATCCCTCACTTTCACTAACATTAGTAAAAGTAAATTGACAAGCAGTATGATGTATATCACACACACATATTTGAAAAGACAAATTATCAGATGGTGGGATGGTAAATAACAAGGAGATTTAAGCAGTCTTAAGAAAATCTCAGCTACATGATAGTCTTGCCAAAGAAATTGGTAATACTTCTGGGTAAGAGGTATTGTGCTTGAATGGACTATGTGTTATTCTAGATTACTTTTCCCTTCTCTTTTGTAATTAGTGTCTTCCAAACATGATAGATTAGTATTACTTGTATTATTGCTTACTCAGTTACAACTGGTTCTGCTTCTCTGGGACTGCACCTATCCATCTCAAATAGTGTCTCCACATTCTCCTCATACTCCAGTCAAAACAAAGGCATTTTTGGTTTGTTCTACAGGAATTTTGCTCAGAAGGCAACTGTATTTCCCTTATGTCCAAATTACTGGAGGGGCAGAAGGGGCATGGACTTATCCCTCTGTTACTCTCCGTGAAGCAGGGTTACAGTGACGCTGTTGTCAGTTACTCATTTTTATGCACATGTTGTCTTAGGATGCTCAAGAACTGCAGAAGGGCTCACTCCTACCATACTTTTAAAACTCGTTTTCTTGGAGTTTCTTTGGCAGATAAGAAATCCCTACAGATTTCTTGGAAAAAAAAAAAAGAAACAAAACTTCAAAACATCACTGTTTGGCCCATTCTTTGAAAAGATCTTTTTTTTTTTAATGAGTGAAGACACCTCTGATTTCTTTTTAAATACTATTTTATAAGCAAGGGCCCTTAAGTCTTTGCATATAACTTAAACAGAGAACATTTTGAATTTAAACATATCAAAATTATGCCAAAGAAAATATTTATTATAGCATACTGGCTAAGAGCACCAACTTGGGAGTCCGTTCAGCTGAAATCCCAGCTGTGTAACCTTGGGCAAGTCATTCAATCTCTCTGTGCTTGATTCCTCTTCTGTTAAGTAAGGGGTATTAATAGTAGATTATCATTTTATTCGTATAACAGCTCTAAAGAAGTTATGTAAGTAAAGCACTCAGAATTGTGCCTGGCACACAGCTCACACTATGCCAATGCTGCATAAACATATCTGCTTAAATACATGAATAAATGTGAATGTGTTAAATATACATGCATTAAACATATGAATAACTACTGATAAACAGTGATCTGCATAATTGTATGTGATTATTATTTGAAAATATTATAAAAGCTCAACTCAACAAATTGCCTGAAGAATCACCAAAGGAATTCCCTATGAATTAGAGCTACAAAGAAAAGCCTCAAGATTTGTTAACCAGGGAATGTCTGACAGGCTGAAGGTCTAGAGAAACAAAATCAATAAACAAACCAAAGCAATGACAATGAAATACTCTAATACACTTCATTTATTTATTTTTATAGACGGGGTCTCTATGAAGCCTATTCTGGCCTCAAACTCCATACCCTCCTGCCTCTTCCTTTCTAGTGCTGGGATTAGACTATGCCTCCCTCCATGCCCAGTTTCTTTAGTTTTTTTAAACCAAGTATTTCAGTTTGAAAGAATAAAAAGCGGGAAATAAAGAGAACTGTTAACTGAAAGTAGCATCAGTTGTTCTACATGTATTTTTTTCACTCAAAATTAGAGAGGCATGAAAACAACCCATATGCTCTCAAAAGTTAGCATCCTGATGGACTTAGTAGAAAACTCATCATTTGAAAAATCTTAACTACAGGTCCATATAATAAAATGTAGAAACAGACAGAGCAAACTACAATTATTTGTATATAATGCCACACACGCTGGAAAACAGCTGTCAGAGAGCTCTACGAGTTGTAATTCTTGAACGGTGTTTCTGGTTCCACGAGAGATAATCATTGCCAATGGATCTTTCCAAATTTAAATAGTAAGGAGCAATGTTAAAAATAGGAGACAAAAAAAAAGTGAGAAAAGATGTCAAAATTGGCAAAGTAGCAACTAAACAATTTCAAGTAAATATTAATCTTGTTTAAAATTATATATAAAGTGTTTATGTTGCAAAACCTACCCACTTGTTTAATTATTTGAATCTTACTTTCAAAATTAAAAACTACAACATGAAAAGATACTTGTGACTGTTTTCTTGGTGCCAGTTTTTGTATTTTGGATCATCTGGGGAAATGAATGTACTAATTTCTACATGAAGAGTCTGCACGTTGCAAGCTCTCTGCCACTGAAGCGAGTGAGTGATGAACTGAACTGATTGTCCCCTAAGGTTCTCTTTATTCATCACATTCCAAACAGTGGAGACTATGCACACCCCTACACCCAACCCAGCAATAACTGTAACCATGATGGCACAAGTTATACCCAATGACAAAAGCACTTGCCACTGACTTTACGGAACTCATCTCATCCTCTTCATACCTCTAGGACGCAGGTACTTACTGGTGTCAACTCCATTTTATAGCCACACCAAATAAAGGCAAACAGGCTGACTAACTTGTTCAAAGTCACCCAAGTAGTTAATGGCAGAGATGGGAATCTAACCAAAGCAGTTTTTGATTCCAGAGTCCATAATCTTAACCACAAGAGTGAACAAATACTTATTGGTGTTATATTACACAGGCTGAGTTAAAACAAACAAGGTGTAGCCACGTGTGGTGGTGCATGCCTGTAACCCCAGCACTTGGGAGGCTAAGCAGGAGTATCATGAGTTCCAGGCTGGCCTGGGTACATAGCAAGATCCTGCTCAGAAATCCAAAAAAGCCACCGCAGGATACAGTATGTCTATCTGTGTAAAGACAGGGGAGAGGGATGTATATACAGAAAATATTTCCAGATAGATACAAAAATATTCTAGAATCTCAGGAACAGTGGCTGCTTCAGAAGTGGGGAAACAGGGTGGGGGGGGGTGTGGAGAAGGGAAGAGACAGTTTTTTACCCTTTGACCTGGGAATCATGTGAGTATATTGCCCATTAAAAAATCAAATAAAATTCTGTTACCTACATAGGCAAAGTAAAAACTAGCTAATACCAACTCTAACAAGATAGTCCTAACATGTGACCGAATTATCAGCATAGAGACCACACCATTATTAAGGAACTGAACCACCAAGAAAGGAACGGCAAGGTGTCTGAGTCACCATATTGTAAGGAGAAAAAAACTAAATTGTAACTATCAAAAATCAGTTTTTAGTTTTCAGGACAAGAGTGTAACATGCAACACTAATGGACATTGTTGGGAAAAAGGAAAGTAAATCAAGACTTTTCAAACAATGGAACTGCACAGTGAGAGGTGTCAAAATTAAGACTGTACCTAAAAAGCCTGAAGGTAACCAAGCCGTTCTCGAGTTTTCATGCAGTCACCATCAGTCCCACAAGGGGATGCTACAATTCAACAACTGGCAAAGGCAGCCAAGTGTCTTGTTTCTGACTTAGAAGGAAATGGCACTTGCACTTTCATACTTCCTTACCTCTGTTAGCCTAGCAGCTGTTCCTATTTTATGCTGTGTGAATTTTAGCACTTTATCAGGTTACTTGAAAAGATTCATACTACTGACAAAAAGTCTAGGGAGTGAAACTGATTTGTTTGTGAATATTCTACTATTCTGCCAAAGCAGGGGGACAAAGTTTTGCCAAATACATGGGACTTTGTGGGACTTTCAGGGTTATTCTGAGAGACCTGAGAGGCACAAAAACTCTCTTCTTCTCTGTACTGAGTGGTATGGCATATAATTTTAAAGACTCACAAATCAAGTTCGGAAATATACACTAATTTATGGAGGGTGGAAAAAGATGTGGTGGAGGGTGACGGACCCCACATGTTCACCGATTTTTTTCCCCTCTGTGGATGCATTTTAGGAATTATGATATACAAAATTCTACCATAAACATCAATACATATTAGATCTACATTAGGGAAAGGGAAAAATAAAACAAAAAATGTGAGTGTAAAAGTCAGTCTTGAAAGGTAACTAGGAGGGGACAGCACAGGTAATATGAAGTGGTGACAGTCAGGGAGGAGTGATCTCTTAAGGAAAACTAAGACTGATGCCTCAAAGAAATATCAAATACTTGGTGTCAACTACTCTTCTAGGCAGCAGAAAGTAAGTCTAAAAAGTGGTCCTTATAAAGCTAAATAATGTTCCATGGTGTATATTTACCACATTTTTAATCCATTCATCACTGATGGACATTCCACCATAAAAAGGAGAGATCTTATCTGTGGCAACATGGATGAAACTAGAGGATGCTATGTTAAGTGGAATACGGCCCAGAAAGACAAACAGCACACGTTCTCACTCACGTGAGAAGTAGCCAGTGAATACAGGTCACTAGAGGCAAGGAAAAGGAGAAGGGAGAACAGAGAGAAGATATCTAGATGATGGGTACCAAAGTGCACTTGGAGGTGGAGTAGCTGTAATGTTATATAGCACAGTGGTGTAACTACAGTATACAACGATTATACATTTCACCCAATTAGAGAAGAGTTTGAAGGTTCCCAACACTTAGAAATGTTTGAGAAGATGGAAATGCTGACTATCCTGATTTGGTCACTACACATTGCATACAAGTTTTGAATTCTAATACAGTACCCCCACCCCAAAAAATAAGTATAAATATGTCAGTTAAAAAAAGTGGTCTTTAAAAGGCAAATCAGAAAGGCACTTGCATTTATACTCATTTAAATCCAAGTCTAGCAAGAGCAATGCCATGCATCCCTCTAGAAAAGACAGGATACACGATTTTAAGTGTGACATGCAACTAAAACAACTTTCATATCAGTTCTGCTGAGGAAATTAGCATCAATTCAATGTCACTATTAGTCATGAAGAGGTAAAGTAGCCGTTATAGAGCCCCCAGTGTTCCTGAAAAGTGAAGCAGCTTAACAAGATCTGAGATACTCAGAAAATACACCGAGGCCCCATTTTCAATGGAGACTGGTGAGGGAAAATCAGTTCCCATTAACAATGAAGCCCCAATAAACCTTTGCTTTCAAACATCCATAGTTCCTATGACCAACAATAAAGCTTCTGAACTGCAGGTGTTAATTTGTGACTAAGCATCTACATGGGGGACTCACGTCATGTTTTAAAATGTTTTCCATTTCTTAGAGTCAAGATTTATTTATTTTTATTTTTTGGTGGTACTGAAGTTTGGACTCGGGGCCGCAAACGTGCAAAGCAGGTACTCTACCACTTGAGCCACATCAGCAGTCCATTTTGCTCTGGTTATTCTGGAGATGGGATGTCTCAAACTATTTGCCTGGGATGGCCTTGAACTATGACCCTCCTGATTTCAGTATCCCAAGTAGCTAGGATTACAGGTGTGAGCCACCAGTGCCTGGCTTCAAGATTTAAATTTTTTAATATTGGTGGGACTGGGCCTTGAACTCAGAGACTCACACTTGCTAGGCGAGTACTCTACCACTTGAGTCACTCCACCAGCCCTTTTTTGTTGGGTATTTTCGAGGTAGGGTTTTGTGAACTATTTGCCTGGGCTTGTCTTGAACTAAGATCCTTCTGATCTCTGCCTCCCCAGTAGCTAGGATTACAGGTATGAGGCACCGGCGCCTGACAAGATTTCATTTTGAAACAGAAAAATATTCTTAGACAATTCAGTTCTTTTATCTCAGTAGCACAGGTCAAGTTATAAAACTATCAAAATACTTATATTTCTGCGATAATGAATTCATAACCAAACTCATTAATTTCAGTGATTTTTTACTTATTCCATAGCAAATTTAAAACCAGCTCATAGTAAGCATTTATTTTCATATACACTGTATTAAAGTTTTTCTTCTTACCAGGCTTGATGAGACGAATCATTTCTTAACACATTCACAGGAACCTTAATCTCACCCAGGAAAACATCTTGGACAAGATTTCCATTATTCCACAAGTCAATCCTGAAAATTGAAAACTGGCCTTATTTTTTTGCAAACGGCGTTTAAGAGAAAGCACACCACCAAGTAGCTTTGAATTACTGTGATTTGTATTACAGCATTAATTTTACATGCTTAAAAGTAAGAGATGTTAGCATTGCCATAGACCTCACCATCTAGACTAGGAAAGCAAAATATTAAGTAGCTTTCATTCAAAAAGTATCAATTCTAAATAGCCTAGAAGGTGGCACTTAAGTTTCTTAGTTTCAAAGTTTAGGCTTTATTTTAACCTGTAGCAATAATAATAGAGTTACTTTGTTGAATTTGAGAAAAGAAACAAACACAAGACTGGAGTTTCTCTTTTGATTATAACCAATGAATATGTAAAGACAGATGATTTACAGAAGCGTATTACCTGACCACTCCAAACACACGATTAGAACACCCTTTAGATGGACACACTGTTAACACCACACCTACACATGCATTTGCACAACTTTCCTTTTCAAAACTACATAGATATTTTAGACCTAGGAAATACCACAAACTTCAAACACATGCACCTACTGAGTTATTTTCTTACCTCACTGAAATTTCTGATAGTCAGCAGATATGTTAAGAAGAATAAAAAAATTATTTCTAAATTGGTTTAGATGTAATGCTTTTTCATCCATTATGCTATTATCCAGGTATTTAAGGTGTAATTTGTGAAAAATTAAAAATGTAATAGGTGAAGACTTGGTTGTCTTTGTTTATAAAATAAGTATATTTTGACTATTTCTGTAAAGAAATTAGATTTTGAAAAAATAATTTAGATATGAAATTAGATGCATGTTCCTCTGTCTTATCAGTCAGCTTGTTCCAGAAAATTCTATTAAGGTTGGTTCACATTTTTTAGTTAAATTTAGGATTTCTTTTTGGCACACAAAAAAGCAATTCTAGAAAACCCCTAAGGCACATACCTAATTTCTAGCTTTTCAATGTCCTCCTCTTCCACCTGGAACTGGGACTTTCTGGTGTAACTACTGGACCTGGTTACCTATAAACAAAAATACTTCAGTAAAAAAAATTTAAATTATCTTTTCCCTCCTTGAGTTTAAAAACAAGAATTCCCACACTATTCAATCACAAATATAAATAGAGAAAAATGCTGAACTAGTATTTTACCCTAAAGTATGCAGTGGCAGGAAGGAGACAAATGCAAAGTATCCTTGCCTCCTGCATTCCTACCAATTCAGTATGGGACAACATTAGGCTCTCTGGCTCACAGGATGTCTGCTGGCAACTCAGTAAAATGACACACTTTAATGGAGCCGCATTTGCTAAAAACCGCTTAAAGACTTTCCCACATTTCTCAAGATAATGACACTACTCATGTTTCCGTCTTACACTTTTGCTGACAACATCAAGGCCACTGAAAGGAACTTCAACTACCATCTGCTGGAATGTGTCCACTCCCACACAGCCCTTTTTATTTGATGAGTTTTCTCATCTTTTTTTTTTTTTTGCAGCACTGGGATTTGAACTCAGTGCTTTGTGCTTGGTATGCAGACACTGTACCACTCAAGCCATACCTCTAGCACTTTTTGCCCACACCATGCTGGACTAAGATCCTTCTATTTTAAGCTTCCTGCTACAGGTGGGATGACAGGTGCACTCTACCATGCCCAGCTTTTTTCTACTAAGATGGGGTCTCACAATTTTTTTTGCCTGAGTTTGGGAGGTAATCTCAGCTTCCCACATTGCTTTGGATGACAGACATGTGCCAATATACCCAGATACTGGTTGAGATGGGGTCTCATGAATGTTTTGCCTGGGCTGGTCTTGAATCACAATCCTGATCGCAGTCTCTCAAGTAACTAGGATTACAGGCATGAGCTACTAGCACCTGGCTTCTCATCCTCTTCTTAATAGGAGGGTAAAATGATTCTCCTCTCTTCTAAGACTACCCTCCCACAGATAGAATGTAATAAGCATGCTATAAGCATTCAATCTATTTTAATTACAGCTTTCTTTACTAGTTTGTTCACCTTACTCAAACCTAAGAAAAACTCTTCCCTTAAATTATGGTCCTATTTCTTTTCTCAGACAAATATCTTAAAACTACAATTCCTCCTGTACTTCCTTACCACCCACTCACAGTAACTCTTTATATCTTGCTTCCTCACAGATCACCCTCCTAAAATCTCACCACCAATCTGATGGTCAACTCTTCTTGCCATCCTTGACCTCTTTCACTGATCCAGTGATCACACTCCTTGCTCTGAGTTTACCTGAGGATTATTCTGACAACCTTCTGTTGTTTTCTTTCTTCCTCAGAATGTATAAATATGGGTTATCTTTCAGTGCTGCCGTTTACAAAGTGCTTTCTTTCACACACCCGTTATCTTCTCTGTTCATCAAACATTGGTCTGAGGCAGGCCTGGCTAGATTTATTACCCACATCTTATAAAATACAGAAATTAAGTGACATACTCAAAGCTGGACAGTTAATAAGTGGCTGAGCTGAGCGTCTTCACTTTCTCTTTTATTGTATCCCATTACTCCTTTGGCTTTCTTGACTCTTTGTAAACAAAGCTTGTATCTTGATGAACAACCACCACCCAGCTTACATTTTGTCTGTAAGAAGGGTTTTTACCTATCAGATCTTAAGCTTGCTATGTCCCAAACTAAACCACTTTTGCTCTTCCTCCTAATTCTGTTTTTCCAGGTTTGAAACCATGGGGACCACATGTAACTTCTTTCTTTGTCCTCTACACTCCAACTTATTATCTTGCCCTTGGTAGTATCTTTCTTACCTGCCCCTTCCTCTCTATTTTCATATAACTCTCTTCAAGCAGACTCCTTCAACTTTTTTTTTTTTTTTTTTTTTGTTGAATAGCTAAACCGCAATAGTCATTTGATCTCTGTGTCTTTCCCTAAGATACCTAGCCCACAGCTCATGGTTAATTCTTTCCACAACACTGCTTTACTCTTATTACATCCAGATTCAAAAACATCCATGGCTAAAATTAACGTACCCCAGGCCAGGCACTAGAAGGTTTTATTAGCTGGTCTTATTCCACTTTTCTTATCTTAGTTCCTTTTAGTTTCTTAAACAAACCCAGTAAAATCTACTTGCTGTTGTTTGCTTTTGTCTCTAGGCCTAAAATACTCCTTCTCTGTAATATTCTGAATCTTTCCTCTTAAGAAAGCCTAGGCTTTCTTCAAGCCTTTCTTGACCATCTCAACTAGAGAAGTATCTGTGTAGTTCACTGCTGTGCATATACGCAGGCCATGTGCTTTCTACCTCCTGCTCTGGCTAGGCTGATCCGAATCTATCTTCACAGTGAGCCTGACAGAGGGCCTGCTGACTCACTGGCTCAGGGCTTGCCAGGTGCTGTGGTGCAGCAAGGAGAGTCCACCCCATCTGACGTTAGCCATGTGGACTAATGTGGAGTGCCAGTGCTTTTGGTCAGTAGCCCTTTAAGTTGCCACCTTCTTTGTTTTCTCCAGGTTAGATGTAACAGTCATTAATAACAAATGTAGAACAACAGTACTGAGTCCTAGCCAGGAAATGGAAAAGTCTCACGTTGGTAACTATCTTGTTTTCTTTCTCCTTTGCTTCCACCCCCGTTTCCTATTTCACTTCTGGCACTTTCTTCAGCCTGTGCTCCTTTATTAAAGTATGGTAGTTGTGTATAACTGGAGGAACCCTAGTATTCTACTTTCAAATACGAGAAAAACGCATAAAAGGAAAAAAAAATCACACAAAACTGAACGCCTCTTTTCAAACCTTTCTCATATGTTAATATCAACTGCGACAAGTTCCACTACTGCACGGTCTCTTAGACAATTTGATTTGTGATTGTTTTCTGTAGTCTTCAAATAATACAAAAAAGTATTTAGGAACTGCTGTAAAGTAAAGGACTGCAAAGCATTGTTTTGGGGACAATTTCAAGGAGCTGAAGAACTCCACGAAGAGAAGTAAGCATGTGTTTGCAGAGTGAACTGGACTAAAAAGAGCTTAGTAGTAAGGCTCTAATCACATGGTACTTATACGCTGAAAGGGTTCTCACATGTTTTAGGCATGATAAAAATTTTGTGTTGGGTAGGGTTGCTACTGTTTTACCCTTTCACAAGGTAAGAAACTTGAGCCTCACGTTTGCTGACTCAGTCATCTGGACTGGATCTCGGGTCTGCCAAATGATAACACTTGCTTCATTAGTGGTTTTCAAACAGTACCCTGCAGAAGACTCCTTCCCTACTTCCAGGCCAATCAGACTCTGTTTTTATGTATTATGTGCATTGTATCATAGTTCTATTGCTTTCTGGAAAGAAATATTAAGCTGCATTAGCTGATAAAATATTATGACTGTGGCTTGGAAAAAGAAATCAATTAAAATTCAGTATTAAATATTCAATGTTAACACTAACATAAAACAAGAAATTACCTCAAAATAAAAGATTTCATTAAACTGTGGGTTGCTTGTTTTCTTCTTTACTTTTGTCTTCTTCTGGTCATTCCTGTTCCAATGTGGTAGAGTTTTTACCTTGTAGAACTTAACAGTACACAGTTATAAAACATGCCATTTCCAAACCAGGGTGCCTCACCTCTGTCAAATGCTAAGATGATCGAGAGGAGACTAGCTTTAAATATTACGGGGGGGGGGGACAAAGGTGTCCCCACAAATTCACATCAAAGAATATCCTATATATGCAAGTTTATATATCTGAATAGGTTAAGATCACTTTATTCTCTCTACGGTAATACAAAACTGACTAGCAAGCTCTTTGGGGTTTTAAAACACATTCTATCACAGAAGAAACGCAGAAGAAATGGTGATAAGGAAAGCATTAAGATATAGTGCCTTTACCTATGTTGAAAACACCCGAGAAATATGAAAAGCATTCTTAACTAACTTCTTAGGCTTCAGCTACAATAATGACTGATTTTTTTTTAAACTTTGAAGTAATTACAGATTAAGAGGAGGTGGTTACAAGGAAATGTACATGAAGTCCTGCACCTTTACCCAGTCTCTCATGTGAACCTCTTACACAACTGTAGCACAACAGCAAAATCAACAGTAACTTTGTAAAACAAATTTATATTCATAAACTGTGTTACTAAACAATTACATTAAAGAACTTGTCAGGCATACATCATTAAACAGAAAACAAAAATAGCTTCCCTGGCTGGGGATATAGCTCACTGGTATAGCACTTGCCTAGCATGTGTAAGGCCCTGCTGGATTCCACTCCTAGTACCACCAAACAAACAAACAAAAAAACTGTATTCCCAAAAAAAAACCTCCCCTAAGATGAATTTTATTTTTTTTTTTGGAGACAGGGTCTCACTATGTAGCTTAGGAGGCTCTGGAACTCATATAACCCAGGATGGCTGGGAACTCCTTCATTCTCCTGTCTTTACCTCCCAAGTGATTACAAGCATGTACCATTTTTAACAAGTAAAAATAAGTCCCTCTGATAACATTTAATGTTACGATCATCTGCTTTTAAACTGAAAGCCCCTGTAATAACGTTAGCACGCCATTAGTTGAGCAACCATGGTATTAGGAATAATATGCTAACAGAGAACTTTATATATACATAAAATACTTCTTTGTCTTTTGGTGGTACTGGGGTTTAAACTCAAGGCTTCATGCTTGCTAGGCAGGTGCTCTAACACTTGAGCTACTCCACCAGCCCTTTTTTTGTGCTGGGTATTTTCGAGATAGGGTCTTGGAAACTATTTTGCCTGGGCTGGCTTCGAACTGAGTAGCTAGGATCATAGGTGTGACCCACTAGCACTTGGCTAAATACATTTTTCAAGGTAACTTAGTGATTTAAAAAGAACAAGAATACCTAGGGTTCTTGGGGACGGGGAGAAATGGTATGTGTCTGTGTGTGTGCACACAGAAAATATACTGCTTTTTGTTTCCTGATTTTAAGCCTTCAGCTTACAGACAAACTTTAAGACTACAAAGTTATATAACACAAAATACTACAAAGTGCTGGGTTTCTTTATAAATTACCCAAGTTAACACAATGGCACTCTGCACCGTGCTCTGGTACTTCAGCAGTACATCTTCAGCTTAGAATTCTCTCTGCAGAGCACAGAGCTCATGAGTAGAAAAGGCAACTTTTAGTTCTCAGCTGCTTTCCAGATAACACACGGAAACTGCCTTGTTATTACGAGTTGGCATTTATTGAAACAGGATTTTTACCTGCACAAAATTAAGAACACTTGAAAGTAGGGATGCTAAAGAGCAAAGGATTTTCATGTTTAAAAAATAAATTTTATTAGTATGAAACTCAGGGTTTTCCCACAGCCTAAGCATATGGCAGATTTAAAATGACAACCAGTTTTCTGTTAAAAAAATAAATAAATAAAAGGACTTGGTTGTTTGTAAATGTATAATGAAATTTCCTAAAGATTCTTCTTTCAAAGTTTTCATGCCCATGTGTCATAAATAGTTACATAGCACTTGCTCTAAGAATCCTAAATTTTCAATTCTTAAATTCAACTTTAAACTTAAAAATCCAGTAACAATTCAATAAACATTACCTAGAAGGACCCACTAGAGAAACTGTTGCATAAGGATCACAGCTTTGTCCATTGATGAGAGGCAACCCATGGCATGCCTTGATGCTAAGGCAGAAGAAAGAGATTCAACATATCAGAAGCACGTTACACAAGATAAAACATTACTTTTTGATTGTTTTATTGTAGAGCTGGACACTGGACCCAGGCAAGTGTTCGAACAATGACCTTATTCCCAGCCCTGGAACATTATGTTTAAATACAAATTAATATATGCAAAGGGCTCCAAATTCCATGGTTTAGTTGTATGCCTATACACCAGCTACCCCAAACATATGTATGTATGCATGCATCTGCCTATTACATTATGCTTTCAAAACAGGACTAAACAAGAATGTCACAATCAGTACTGAAAGTACCAAATGATATTAATACATTTCCTCCTGCTAAATACCCAAGAAGGTACATTTTGTGGTTTGATAATACATCAAACTGCTGTGGCTTCTGAAAAGAAAAAGCAGTACAACCTAAAATGAGAAACTACAAACCAAGTCAGCTTTACAGCATCATATCCTTTGCTAAAGCATGAATGACATGCCAGGAAATAACTGTGGTTTCCATGTAAAGGCTAATTCATAAATATAGGGCAAGTCTCACATAACTTTGTAGCCTTTTATCCTGATTCTCAGTAAACGCTCCTGCATCATTCTGTAGCAAATGTTTTAGAAAATAAAAACCAGGTCATCTAATCTACTCTATGCATGATAGTCACTGATATTTATAGAGAACAAAGAATGTGACTTTAATAATGAGTTGACCAAATTTCCTAAGTGTTACTGAATTAATTTAATGTCTAAGGAGCTTCATTTATTAATGCCTAAGAGAATCTCAAGATGAAGGGCACTGAGCATCCAGTATTTCTTTCCATATTCACAGATCATGTAGGAGGGGAAAATGTAATACTGCCAAGTAAAGAGAGAAATGATATATGACTCATTTTTCTTGGCACCAAAAATAAAATTCAAAATTATCTGAAACTAATCAAAGAAAGCATGGGCCAACATAATACTCTAGGGCTTATATTTTTTTCACCACTGAGGCAGCACCCATGAATTACCAGCTTTTTACTGTGGCTGGTGGTGGGACCTCTTGCTAGGTCCTAGGATATAGGATGTTCTCATCTCTTTAACAAAGCTTAAAAGCAAATCATAAAAGGATCAAACTGTTTCCAAGTAACTTAAATGAGACCTAAATAAAATTCACATATGTTCAGAGGAATACAAAATATCCAGTAAACTCAAATTTGGCATCCAAGAGAAAATAACCAGGAATTCAAAGAACAAGAAAATATTCACAATGAAAAGAAAAACCAATCAAAACAGAAGCAGAAATGACGACAACGAAAAGCTCACAGAATTGGTAGAAAGGTCATTTAAGAAGTGAGACCTATGAAAGATGAAAAGCACAAGACCGTTTGTACACAGTTACGAACATGGACCCTGAAACCTGCTGAAGCCACCATGAGAAGGGTCTGGGGTAAGAGAATAATGGAGGGGATGAACCAGTTCAGGGTATAATAAATATACATATGGAAATGTCACAATGAAATTCCTTGTATATCTGTCATTAACTAACAAATGCCTTTTTTTAAAATGCAGGACAGGAAGGTAAAACAGGTCCTTTCTGGGGGTGGGTACCAGTGGAGGGGAGGAAATAAGGAAAGGGTGAAAGAGGGTGAATATGGTGGAAGTATCTTGTATTCATGTATGAAAATGGAACAATAAGAACTATTGAGACTGTTCTAAGAAGAGGGTAGGGAGAATCTAATTAAGATATATCGTAAGCACTAATGTAAATGTCACAATGTATCCCCTATACAACAATAATACGCTGGTGGGGAAAAAAACAAACAAAAGAAAATGTAAGATCTGACATGAAAAACACATTGAGTGGAAGTCCAATGTTTGCTAAGACTGGGAAGGAGGTGAACAGACATGAGGCTCAAAACATTCAGTTTTAGATGTGTAAATTTCAAAATGCTAGATTTCAAAGAGGACATATGAGACTAGAACCCAGAAGACAAACTTTGGCTGAATGCACAAGGCACACACAATTTTAAAAGACCTTTTTGTTTTGAAACAATTTTCAGACTTCCAGAAAGGTTGTAAAAAGAATGGTTTCTGTGTACCCACCATGCAATGTTAACATCATGTGTAAGCACAGTGGAGCTCACTGAAACTGAAAAACTAACATTGTTGTAATCATCCTTCTAACTGAAGACTTTACTCAAATTTCCTCAGTCTTTTTCTTGTTCAGGATGCAGCATGGGATCCCACATTGCATCTAGTTGCCAAGTCTTCTTACCTTCCTCCATCCCAAGACAATCCTTTGGTTTTTCTTTTTGTCCCATGATTTTGTCAGTATTGGTCAGTTATTTTATAGCATATTCCTTAATGTGAGTTTGTCTGACATTGGGATTACACATCCTGGTGTCCTTCTCAATACACCCTACCAGGAGGTACTAGATTTCTCATTATTGGTGATATTAACACTTGGTTAAGGTGGTATCTATTCAATAATCTTACAGGGAGATCTTTGAGAGTATGCAAGTATACTCATGCTGATGTATTGCGTATCCATAGATGATTTGTCCCTGCACCCAATCACTTTTCCATGTATTTTTAATCCACACATAATAATTGTACATATTTAGGGGTACAGTGTGAGATTTCAATACATGTATACAATGTGCAATGATTAAATGAGGGAAATTGGCATATTCAGCACCTCAGATATTTCTTTGAGTTGGGAATGTTCAAAATCTTCTCTACTAGCTATGCTGAAATATTCAATGAATTGTCAGCTACATATTATCCTACTGTTCTGTAGAGCGTAACACTCCTCACAGACAAGTGCACCTGTACTCACTAAGCATACTCTTCCCACTGCTCTTTACTCTACGTTATTCCCAGGCTCCAGTAGCCACTATTTTATTCTTACCTGGAGATCAACTTTGTGGTTTTCACCTGTAATTGAGAACACACAGCATCTGTTTTTCTGCCAGCACCAAATCATTATTGTGGTGTTGTCAATGCTGATTTTCAATTTCCATTATTCCTCCTACAATTATTGAGACTTCTGCTATATGGAAAAGCAGCCATTTCTCCTCTACACGTGTATTTACATCAGAATTGATTTTAACCCATTATTATTGTTTATTTATTGTGAGCCCCAAATTGTCCCAAATTTGGTCATTTGGGGTTTTTTTTCACGTTGTTTTCAATTCCTTTCTATTTACCTGTTATATTTTTTATTACTTCTTTATCTTCTGACTCCACAAAATATTCTAGCTCTGTATTTTTTCAGGTCCAGCCACTAACAAAAAGGAGGTCAGGTTCTTTTTATGGGAGCTGTACTGTCTAAAACTGCAGCCATGAGCCACATATGGCTATTTAAGTTTAAATAACTTCGTTCTTCAGTCTCACTAGTCATATTTCAAGCTGATGGCTATTATGTTGGAGAGTGAAAACATAACGTGAAATACTTCTGTCATCATACAAAGTTCTACTGGTCAGTGCTGACTGGAGAATGGTATTCAGAAACCAAACATAGGTGCTACATATGGCCATTACTAATGCAATGACACTGCCTCTAGGCCTTCTCAGTGAAAACAACTAGTGTTTCTCTACTCTCTCTCTCTCTCTCACACACACACATACACTCTCTCTCTCTCACTCACTCATGTGCACACACATATCTTTAGACAATCTTTCTTTGAGAACTGTGCCTTCAAAGGAGAGCAGAGGAATGGAGGGTGGGTGTGGGTGAGTAGAGATGAGGTCTTGGGAGATGTATGTCTTTGAGGATGGGAGATATACATTGGTGAGAAGCACACAGGGGAGAGGGTAAAACTAATAACAAAGTAGGAGAAAAAAGGCATAGCTGAAGAAGCAAATATTCACTCTCAAATTGAGAGGGGGCAACTCATATTCCTTAACATAAGGTCAGAAAGCTGGATGCAAACATAGATTTGCATATTTAGGTTCAGGAAAAGTGAAACAAACTTCAAGTCTGTGCTGACAGACAATCTTATAGACGTATCAGGGAAGCGTCCATGCGATGCTAAATCTAAAATGAAATCAGTGACTTTTCTCAGCAATGTCCAAGTATAAGGCAAATACATTCACATAAAGATTCTTCCAGATAAATACGAGGGATGAGGAAAAGAGTGATTAAAAGGAGAGGTTAGGGAACCTGGAAGAAAATGATCACAGTGATAGATCATGGAAAAAGATGCAGAGGAGAGTGAGTAGGTGAGAACATGATGATCAGTGAAGGGGGGTTTTACTAAAGTTAGAAAATGTCACAGCAGGGACTCTGCAGGTCTGGGGAATAAAAACCACTACTAGAATAAATCTTTCCACACATTACTTCCCCAAACCAAAAGTTCAGCAAGAAGTACAATGAAAACCACACATGAAACCATGCCTACAACATTTTTCAACATTACCAAAGAACAAAGAATATCTACAAACCTCAAAATATCTGTAAAGTTGAGAATAAATTCCACACAGCTACCACTAGAGCTTTGTTGCTACAAGTCAGAAGAATGCAGACAGTGCAGGCCTTAAGACATTCTAAAAGAAGGAAAGAATATAGGCCAGCACGTATCCATGTAAAGATCCATTGATGAGCATTTATAGTGGTTCCCTTTATAAGAGCTCCCAAATAGGAATAATTCAAGTATCTGCCACCTGGTGAACGTATGAACCGGTTCTATGTAATGGAATAAAAACATGTTGGTTTTCAATTTTTGGGACAAGCTAGAAGCACATTCTTATTTCCTTCACTAAGTATAGTTAAAAGCCCTGAACACTGTATGTAAAATAAATGTAAGAAAATTCTGAAAGGTAAAGAGAAAGTGAACTCATTACAGACCTTGGGATTCAAAGAAAAATATGGCAATCCATTGCCTGGATTTTTTTACTTTATGCCTTCCAGCCTGGGAGCAAGAAAAGCCAGAAAGCTACAAACAGTGGGTATAGATTGTCTAAATGTCCAAAAGAAAGCACTTCATCTAGTTGTCTTTAGCTAAATAATCAGGAAAG